ACAAATTGGACAGGAACTGAGCGCTGCTAAAACCAGTTAGTGGTGTGACCGTGCCCACCCCTATGATCCATGAGTCTCGGATGCTAACAACACACTGCCTTTATTAGTAAAACCTGGTAAACCGAAAATCACGAGATCAGCGCTGTGTGGCCCGGGAGGGATCAGTCTGGAGCGTTGCGTCAACGCTACAGTATACCAGCCTGCAATTTTCAGAATCGTTGTCGCGCAAGTGAACTAGCTAATGTCTGCAAAAAAGCGACATATGTCCAGCGACTCGTCTAGGCCAATGTTCACTCTCCCCTCGAAATCGCACGCCGTTATACAGGCAACTCCGCGCAGCCACAAACTGCGAACCCGCCCCTCCCGAGGCGACTGGTGAATTCAACACCCACAAGGACAATCAAACGAAAAACGTTTAGAAGAGTATACTGGAGACTCACCTTCAACAGCAGAACAATATTATCCATGAGCTCCACAAGGAGAGATGTAAATAGAACGGTTCGACAAAGGAACGGAACAGAGCAAAGTCTGCATACGAATGTAGATAACTTGAGTAGTAACCTGAACTACGATATTATGGAGTCAAATGAATGAAATCCCATACACTGATGAAGGTAACGTATGGCTCTTTGCGAACGATGTGGTGTGTCACCGCTGCTGCGTTTGGCGAGCCGCCAAATCCATTCCCAGCAGTTGTTCATGCGAGTAAGTAGCAACAGATGAAAATGACTGACACGAACGATATGATGATTCTGTCAAATGCCGAAAGAAATAGAAACCAGTTGGCGCCGCGCCAAACGCAGCCCCGCGGACACGCCGCATCGGACGCGAACCAGACTATAAGGTAGTATCCAAATAAACCTGGTGGTGGCCCCTGTGCTTGTCCATTTCAGTTGCATAGAGAGCAGATCTGATAGAAGTGATGAACAAGTGAACGGAGCAAAGTTCGTTGAAAACCATTCCTTCAACAAAACATTCCAAAAAATCAGAAATTAGTTTGGCCAGCAAGTTTATATCAGGGAAAGTGTTTCAACGTCACAACTACAATACTGAAAGAAGTTCCAACTACAAAAACTGAAAAAAATTACCTGTGATTCGCTCTCTCGGCAGACATCTCCCAAAGCTCTTTCTAGAAGTTGCAACGTAGTATCGTCTAGTCTACCTTGCTTGTGCTGACATTTACTTATCGCACTCATTAATTCACGAACACATTTCGCCTGACGCGCATTTGGAGACGGCGGTTTCTCCGCAACTTCACTAATCTTCTTATTTCTGAAAATTCACAATGATAATTCAGAAAAAGACCCATGACTGAATTGAGTGATGTACCTAGCAGCTAGTCGTTGCTTTACTTTCACCCTCTTCTTTCGCCACATCAGTTCATCCTCTTGTTTCGCTTCACAGCACTGAGAACTAGGAGACTGAGTCAGGGAACAGAACTCCTTTTCCTGAAATAGAACAAATTCGAGTGGGTTCGTGGTAAATGGCCACGATAAAATGGATTTCATACTCACAAGGTCTTCGGTAGATACTGAGTCACAGTTGACATTGGCATTAGTGAAATGTGTCGGCGACATAACATGAGCCACAGCTTCGAGTTCCGTCAAAACCTTGAAGGAAAGGAAGGATTAGGCAAGTTTATGGATTCGGCAACCAGGTCATTATGATTCTGTTTTCAATATGCTTGGTTGGTCAATAAACAAATAATAGGTTGGAGGGGAAAGTCTTGTCACTTTTGTGGGAATTAGTCAACAATATACTCGTCATAGTTAGCCACTACAGTGCTCCACCCAATGGACAGGTAAGCATTCCCCTCCTCCCAGAACTGAGAAGGCTGCGAGTAGAGTAAGTCAGCGCCCTCTCGACTGATGTCATCAAAGTTGCTGAAAGTTTTCTTAGCTAAGAAAGCCTTAAGGAGGCGGAGCAGGTAGCAGTCGTAGGGGACTACGTCAGGAGAATATGAGCGGGGACTGGTCTCCCAGCCTTGCTCCTCAATTATTTGGTAGGTCTCCATAGCAGGTATGGGGTCTCGCGTACTACGAACGAGGTGCCCCGAAGCTAGTCTCGGTCATTTTTCTCCAACAATTTCCACCGGTTTCAGGAGCTGAGCGACACAAATGGTAGCGGTGACCGTCTGTTCTTACAGGGCAGCTCGTTCTGCAGCATCCCCTCGCGTCCCAGAAGCAGGAGAACCTTCTCGGAATACATGCCCGGTTTGGACTGCTAGAATGGATCTTCTCCTTGAGAGAGACAAACGGTACTGTGTGGGTTGAAATCATAGAGGACCCATCTCTCATCCCCACTAAGCAGTCTCCTGGAAACTCCTTCTGACCAAGGGCAGAGAAGGGGAGACTGACAAGGGGTACCCGGTTGCACAGCGTGCCATCGGTCAAGGCATCCAAGCGCTCACAGGTGGTGGACGACTGCCACTAGTTACATCCGAGTCTTGTCGCAAGACTCCGTGGTATCCTCCGATCCATGCCCCTCTTTGACTGCTTCAAGAATGGTGGAGTCTCCTCTCCTTGGGGCTGTCCCAACCGAGGATTGTCTTCGAAGATCGTGTCTATTTTCGCGAAGCGAGCGACACCTAGGTGTCGATCATCGATGGTAGTGGTGTCCTCCAGCAATGCACTGTTGATTTTGCGGACAGCTGCCGTGGCTCCAGTGCGCGGGGCCACCGACACATGGTGATGACCCGGAGATGCTCCTGTGAAACTAACATCGTAATTAGACCCAAGAAAGAGCAGGCGCCTTCACACACCCCTTGCACGAAAGCTCTTGGAATGTTCTACAGCATGGCATGTTACGTCATATAAGCATAGAGAATCAAAAACTCTAAGCTTTCCAAAAAACACTGACAGGACTTTACTTCCAACCTAATAATAAATATGACATCATATTTCCAAGGGAAAACTCACTTCAGTATTACAAGGTCCACACTTGAAGTTGATTCCGTAGCCATCCGATGGCCAATGAGTGTGATCCACAAAAGACCACGTCCATCTACACCCAGATGGTGGGCGAGGAGATGAAAACTCTTGCGCGCGAATTCGTACGTCTTCTAGATTTTGCTCATGGCGGCGAGACGTTGATTCGATCTAAACATTTGTTTTGCTTCACGGCTCTCGAGTCAAAAAAGAAAAACAGTTTACTTTTTCTTGAATTCTCTTTCGCAGAGACTCATTCTCTTCAGCATCAGCCAATCTTAGCTCGTTGAGCTTTTCTTGTTGTAGCTTTCGCTTTTCATTTCGTAGTCGTTCCTGCTCATTCCTCTGCGCAGCAAGCTGAGCATGACGAGCTTCTTTTCTTTCTGCGATTTCCTGGAGCCGTGCGATACGCTCCTGCAACGGTTTACTTCACGTACAACTAAAACAAGTTTCTTTCTGAAAGAATTCTTAAAACGAAAATCACCATTTCTGCTATTTTACGCCTTTCCTCGCGGCATGTTCTTTTGCTGCCTTCTCCCTCCATTCTTCACCCCACCACCCCTCTTGCTCGTTCCTCTGCCAATGATTGCTTCCGTTCTTCAACTCCAGCGTCTCTCATCCGCAGATCAAGTATCATGTTTCCACCTTGTAGCGAATTGATGAACTGGACTTCTAGAACCTGAAAACGAGTTCAATTCGAGAGAACCTGAAAAGACAGTTACAACTCGAGACAAGAACCCGACATTAAAGGCAGCGCGCGCGTTCAATTTGATGAGGTTGGATATGCCTTATACAGGACCCCACGCCGAGCTGTGGTTGGACGTGCTTCAGGCGAAAGAGAAGGCGCAGCCGCACGAGTTCTCACTTGTTGATATCAGCTGTATTCCTTTATCACCTCACTCTCACCATTCGGAGCGGAGAGCTTTGGTTGCGGAACAACCGCACCATCAGGCAACCATTAGAAATGATGATGGGCGTAATGGTCGCCAGGTGGGCGGGGTGGCCGACTCTTCACGAACGGGCGCCGCTGCTCTCTCGCATTTTTGAGTTGCGAAACTAGTACGTCCACCATCCTGATAAGGTGAGCTGCAATATCCAAAGACGGCGTGGAAACAACAAATGAACGCGGGCGTTGCCTTCAAGTGAGAATATTTCAAGGGCCATAGCAAACGTACTCATCCAAAACAGCTATTCTGAATCATGAAGGTTCAAAAACATGACAACTATATAGTTTGCTGAGGATAAAGAGATGTAACATGCAGGGCTCCTCATGAAAAAGACTCCGCAGACAGGTCAAATCGTGGGCGCTCCCACGGCATCCTCAGCCTAGATCGTTCGCGCTTAGTTGGTGTAGGTGAAGCGGGTATTTTGTTAGTCTAGGAGGACAAAAATGGTGCACTGTGACTCATTGTCAGCCAACACCAGCAAGTTTGGGCACAGGGCCCCATTTGAAGCCACTTATGACTCGCAAAGAAATAGAAATGATGCATCTCAGAAGTGGGTTGATCGACCTTCTCACCCGTTTACCTGATTCACTACATTATTGCAATGAATCTTCACCTAATACTTCAGAGAAAATATAGGACGGAATCAAAACTTTCAGATTTATGCCCTCCAAAGCATACCTTTTGTTCGTCATCTTTCGCTTTTCGAATGATTTCCGTTATATTTTTCTCTCGATTTTCTTGGGCTCTTTCCATGCGACTCTCCAGAAGCTGCCTTTTTCTCTCTATAACCTTCTGCCTCTTTTCTCGAACCTCTTCTACCTGAACAATATTGATACGGGTATGCATCTGAGTCCAGACTTGAACATTATCGAAACCACAAAAAGCCATACCCTGCGCGCCAGTTCTCGCAATCGTGCTGTTTTTTCGGCCTGCAACTGAGCCCTCAACTCCGTGGCTCTCTTCAGTTTTTCGGCATGTCGAAGGGAGAAGTCGGCGTCATTTTTATCGCATCTAAAAACAGATGGATAGCTGCAAGTGCACGCAGGAAATCAATGACGTACCTTCTTCTGCTAGGGCTGCTCATTTTTTCATGTCGCTCCGCAACTGTGCCTGGTTCACGATATGGAGGCACAAGCTCCTTGCCAACTACCTCGCTCCAAGTTAAAATGGGCCGTCGACGGGTCTCATCTAAAAATATCACAAAATGACTTCAGTAGTGAAGGTCATCCCACAAGGAATCACGGAATAGAAGAGTTATTACGAGGTTGGATAGTGTATACCTCGCGTTCGATCCGCTTGCTGTCCTCCACATGAGGATGAACCGTTTTCTGCGCGTTTACTCTATAACACATCGTTATGAATGCCGTGAGAAAAGTCATTCATTTATTAATAAGAATTAAGAATTATCAAGAGTCAACCAGTTCTTGAGAATTAATATTGATAATAAAATGGAGTTGACTTGTCTGGTACTACTGTACTATTTCTACCACAGAACCCAGTTTTTTTATTTGTGTGCCCATAGTGCCTGATCACGAATACACATTCGTCCTTTCACGCGTAGCGCGATGGGCGAATCACCACAATTTTTTTTACTAATTTAAGGAAAACTGCCACTGGCATTATTTATCTGGTTGCCTAAGCGCACCAGTTTTTGGCGCTGACCCCATAAAGGGCCATTTAGGCGCCACCACATCATGCATAACATGGTTGTTTGATATCCTGCTTATAATATTCCATTATTTCTCATGAGACCGAGCGGCCAGTTAAACGCTCTGCTTAGAATGGCGCTACGGGAAGAAGATCTCCCATAGTAGGCTCCGCCAGGTTTAGCCTCAGCAGAGCGCTGGTGTTCAGAGAACTCTGCATCAGCGGGAGGGGGAAGAGTGAATGACATTTTTGCAACCAGAACATCAAATATCCTTGGTGCGCAGGTTATACTGCTTTGATGAGAAAGGTAGCGGCGAAGAAATCGGCGCTTGTTAGTACCGGCTTTTAGTGCGGGCTGTCCAATACAGCATAAGATCAGTCATGTACGATTTCTTAAAGATATTGGCTAGTAAGCTCAACAGAGCCAGTTTTCTTTGAATTCTGCTCAATTACGGTAAAGTATCTATGTCAAGGCGTTGCGTATTCAGCCAACAGAAAAAGATAACCACACAAATAACCTCGCAAACCTGATTTGCTGGTATGGCGGCTTTTTGAGAAAGCTCGAACTTCTCCAAAGCTTCAGCTTCAGCGGCGACTTGTCGTTCCAATTCGATGTCAATTGAAAAGGACTCTTCCTGTAAACCAGGGGATTAAGGGATTAATTTCTTGACAAAAAGACAGTTCTTCATAAGGATTCTGAAAATTACATGCTCTATCTCAAGATTGAGGCTCTGCTCCTCTAGAGCTAATGACTCCTCCTCTTCTGTCATTTCCTTCCACTCTACGTCATCGTCTAGGCCAAGAAGTGATGACACTTCACCAAATGCTGGCTCCGATCTAAAAAGGCACTGCTTTTTTCATTCATTGAACGGAAAATTTTCCAATTGAAATCACCTCGTCGCTGAGAATCGGACATTGTCCCGATTTGATTCGGTAGGAGTTGGATCTGCTGGAACGGTCTCAGTCTCATCGGCTTCGCCAACTTCATTGATCGATTGCAAGGAACGATCGACTGACGGATTTCTCTCACTGGCCGGTGCACTGTCGCAGTGTAGACGCTGAAATACAGGAAAAATAGCACCCGACACCATTCTCTTCGCCAGAAACCAAAAGCTGTCTGCCTGCCTGTCTATACATTTTCTATACATTTGCGTGACCGTCCAGAAAGGAAGGATGGGGCATAAACCCAGATTTTTAGAGCACATGTAAGGTACCCTAAGTTCCGTTAATGACCACAGTGGTACACAGAAGGGTGCCGGACCGTGAGGAAAGTGAAGGAAGTTAGGCAATGGGTTGCCAAAAGGAATGGGAAGAGCTACCTGTAGCGGGTGAGATGTGTAGGGAGGGAGTGGGGCTGTTAGAAAAGCTCAGCTCTAAAACCCCACAGAAAGCGTTCAATAAGCTCCTTTCAGCGCAGCAAGTTCTCAGCAATCCAAGAAGTAGCATTTTTCAAAATTTGAAGGGAACTGCCTTCAAGGGGGGGGGCAATAAAGGGGGAGACAACCCTTTCACAGAAGTCTGACAAAAGCTCACCGGTCGAAAAGAGCTGCTATTACTTTGAGTTGATGGACGATCAGCGAAATGAATTCCGCAACGACTAGGGCCAGTACGTCGTCGCTGTCGTTCAACTCGTTCCCATACGTTGTTTTGTGCGTAATTTCTCGGCTAGTAAGGACTGATTGCGTTCAGCAAAAGTTAACTGCCGACTGAAGCCATCTTTGGCCCATGGAAGCGCATACAACACGTTACTCAGTAAAAGTAAAGATTGTAGCAATTTTCAAGCCTTCTTCTTCTCAACCGTCTTACTTCACTCTAATTTCATTACCTTCGTTTGAGGGCAGATCGTCATAAGCACTCTTCGGACAAGTAAGACGCGCTGACTGTAAGCCAGCGGAAGAGCGAATACTGCTGTGTCGGGAAGAATGCGTCGTCACGTTAGAAACCGATGGAGACACGGTACGGCGAGGTGCGGAAAGCCGATCGTAGACGTTAGGACGAGGTGGCTAAGAAAATTATGATCCAAAATTTGGGCCAAAGACGAATAAATGAAGGACAGTTCAATATTCGAGGAATCTAAAATCACCTCGACTTCACGTTGCTCAGGCGCAGATGCCTCATTCAGAACATCATCATGAGAAGGCGCAACTCCTCCAGAAGAACTTGTACTCCTTTTTCTGCGTGGTAATACCAACTGCCAGCCATCGTCTAACGATACTAAAAGAGCAGAGGATTAGATCAACTAAGCAAAAAGTTTTTTTCAAACAATTTTATGCGAGCTGGTCATGGTCGATAGTTCCGAAATCGCAATAAAAGCTTTGAAGTGACATGATTAGAAAAGGAGGTACTGCAATTACTACAAAGGATAGAGCGCGTGAAGAAGCATGGATTGTTGCGCTATAAAGACGGAGTTTTCCACGCCATCCCTCAGTCCGACAACAAGGCAAGAATAATGGGTGCTCTGGCCGCGCTTCAAATAAGCGCCGGCCTTCAATACGCCCAGCGTGCAAGATTTCACTATACTTCTGGAAGAGCATGGTCGTTAGCAAACTTGTCTCCAGAAACCAGAATTTTGTGAAGGACAAACCCAAGCTACGGCAAAAGGTGCTCTGAGCACAGCTGTCTGAAAGTTCTGGGAATAGCCAGTGACTAGTTCATACATAATATATTACAGATACAAAAAACTCACATCGAGCAGCCTCCCTGAAATCGTCGTCTTCCTCGTAGAGGTCAGCTTCGTTCAGCAAATGACCAGATCTAAACGATAGTGGCGCTAGATCGACAAAAAATTCAGAGCTCTCACTGTGTGAAATAAGCTCTCTTACTTGGGCATTGCATCAAGTGAGACTTGAACGGGCGAACGTGTAGATTTTCGAATTTCCCACGCAACAGCTTGGGGTCTGTAAAAAACACGCATGGTGACATTGACAAGGCAAGGTATGTGACAAGAGAATCGTAAATCGCCGCGCTGGAAGGCGTCGCGTGCGACGTCGCACCCGCAAATGACGATGGTTCCAGGTAGTAGATGGCGACAACAGGCAATTCAGAACCGAAAATAGTCATGAATGTCTACGATGACGGGGTCTACATGAAGTCCGGTGCTCCAATCGACAGGTTAACACGAGTTAAGAGGGCCGCATCGCCGCCGCGGCGAATTACAGATTCTCTTGATCAGACCAATGCCAGAATGATTCCCCGCTTCACTATAACTTCCTCAACAGAGTTTACTATAGTCACATAAAAAGCCACAAGAAAATAATTTTACACTGGAATTAAACTCGCCCCTCCATGCCACTGGACACTGGAAGTTTGGATAAAGGAGACTTCCCGTCTGTTAGACAATGAAGGCAGAATGCCCCAACCTTGATCTGACTTATGGGGAAAACTAGCTCCTGTACACGAACTATTGAAGCCCAGCAAAATCACGCGCATAACAAGACCTATATCCAAAATAAACACCCGTATTCACGCTTCTCTCGTGTGAATCCCATTCCAAGAATAAAATGTATTGCATAAGTAGCCGAAAAAAATCAGTACTGCTCCCATTGAAAAAAACAACGATTCGCTGTTAGTACTAGGAGATATATTTTCAAAAATCTTTCAACCATATCGAGACACAGCTCATGAAAACTGTCAAGTGCGAACTAGTTTTTGGACCAAAGCACATCGTAGGTCAGGCGTCTTCAGCGAGCCCTGTTTATTCATGATACATTCTGAGCGCTCAGTTAGCGCTAACATTGGCCTCACAAAGAACACTACGTCATGGGAAAAATACCCGACCTAAAGCGAAACAACCTGCACCCTACGCTTGGAGAGGGATGGGGCGACTTAGCACTCAACGTATCTCACCTCAGCCTTCTGTGATGAGTGAGACTTTTAGTATAAGTAGGTAGACTGATCACACCCTGTAGCACCTTATATTTCACAACTCACTTGCTTGATTCCTCCCACGACGTTTCAACGTTGATAGTATTGATTAATGACTCAAAGTCTCGTTTCGAGTTCTCAAGGTAAATAATCGCTTCCTGAAAGATTCGTACAAGATTATGTGAACCTAAAAAATGAGTCAGAACCCAGTGAGCATTGGGACATTCTTAGGCCATCGTTGACTGGAATTCACTTGCACTTCCTTGTGAACATTCAAATGTAAGATTAACCGTGGAAGTCTAATTAATGAAGTTCTTTTCCGGGGAGCTCTTTATAAAGGCTTAGCAGAACAATGCAGTAAAGTTTCCTCGAATTATCGTTTTCGTACAAATCGGTAAAATTTTAGAACGCCATTTTTCTATAAACTAAGGCCGCTTCCCTTGCTTCCACTGCTGTTAAGAGGTCTGCGGGATTAATGCCTTTTGACTTCTCCTTTTCACTGTTTTGTTGCTTCCACCGCTAGTTTCAGCTTCGGATTTATATTTTTTTTTGATCGTTTGGTTCATCTCCCGCCGCCCAACGCCCATGCAGTTGTGTGGGTAGATAAATGCGGATGATGTCTCAACAAATTATTTTCAAATTCTCTCCATTCTTTCGTCTAACTACTCAATATAAGGGGTATTGACGAGTGCAGATCGAGAAGAAATAAACTTACTTTACAGCCATTTATATTGTGATCAGAACGGCAGATCTCGTATAGACAATCCACAGTTCGTTTAAAAGATTCCACATAGAATGCCCATTGCTGACCTCGTTTTCGCCTCGAAAATGCGAATGTTTTAAACAAAGAACGTATGGGACAAAAAGTTCGGAAAACTCACTTAGCGCGTTTTCGTTTCGACGTCTTGCCAGCGCAGACTGTCGAATTTTCTGGAGTGTCCGACGTGGGGTTCAACATCACCTCTACAGACTCTTCATGGCAGAACTAGAAAATGAGATTGTCATGAATTCATGCGGAGAATTCGAGAAGAGAATGTCCCAAGAGGTCGATAAAGCTGTCCCATTAAGCACGAACCAGATGTTAGAAAAGTTACAAAAAGTGAGCAGAGTCAGCTGACTCAGGCAGATCTTCTTTCAGCGGGGAATAGGCAAAATTCGCAGGACAAAGGGTAATGCACATTAAAGGAGAAGGCCATGACCCGCTCAGGTGAGCGAAAAAACAGCCAAGTAGAGGCGGCCGGTATCAGCTGATGCGACAACAGCGCAACACTAGAGACGCCGCACGCGATGGCAGTTTGCCGCGACGCGACAAAACTGCCGTCATCCGCATGTTCCGTCGCATTTAACGCGCTATATTGGCAAAGCAATCCTTTTTTTGCATTGAATGTGTTTCGGGAAGAACGTTGCACGTTTAGTGTTCTTTTCCATCCCATTTCGTGTGTGAATTTCCTGTTCATTCAATGAAAGATTGGTCTTTTCCAGGGATTGTTCGCCGCCGTACACATCGAACTCCAATCCGTTGCCCTGGGGAACAAAAACTGACTATACATGTTGGTTGATACCGGGAACCACGTGAGGTGGAAGTCAGTAACGTTCCTTCAATGTATAGTCTGGCGGCCGAGGGATGTACGATCACTCACATATATACCATTTTGACTTTAAATTCACCCCTTTTCAAACGAAATTCACCCACCTTGCAAATCGAATTCATCACACTTACTGGGCCGGGCACTCATCAGTCAGATAAATGCCAGACAACACCACTGCGAGCCCCGCCCGGCCACGCCTGCTTGTCAGCGCGGACATAGGTTTTCATATCTTGTTTCATAACTTCTGCTTATGTGACTTTTCTTATCTTTTGTTGTTTCCTGCAAACACTTTGGCTGAAAACGATTAGGCGTCGACAATGGCCGACTCCGCTCATTCTCTAAAGGGTCTGGCAACCTAGGCTCCACCCCCTTGACCACGCCCACTTGCTTTTCGCGGAATTTTGATATTTTTCAAAATTTTGCTTTTTCGAAGTGCCACGTGAAGCGCCGCCCACCGTGAAGGGCTTCTGCCGGCACTTTGAACAAGCCGCCGCCACTTTTCAAAATGGTGCATGGTCTGGCAGATAGGTCTCGGCTTTTATGCGTAGGGTCCTCGTCGTCTGTTTCAACAAACTTTGGCCCTGGGTTTTACTGTTCCGAGTGACGAACGAAAACCCTAGCATGAAAAGCCGTACGCCTATACTTGCCGATTTGACCATTTTTTGTAAAGAACGCGAGCCCTCTCACAGTGGGCGGGGCTTCACGTAGCAGTCCGAAAATGCAAAAATTTTGAAAAATATCAAAATTCCGCGAAAAGCAAGTGGGCGTGGTCAAGGGGGCGGGAGCCTAGATTGCTAGACCCTTTTGGGAATCAGCGGATTCGGCCATGTGGCGATGCCCAGTCGTTTTCAGTCAAAGTGTTTGTGGGAAACAGCAAAAGATAAGAAAAGTCACATAAGCAGAAGTTATGAAACAAGATTTGAAAATCTATGTCCGCGCTGACAAGTAGGCGTGGCCGTCGGGGCGGGGCTCGCAGTGGTGTCTGCGTGATCTGGTTGATGAGTTGCCCGCCTAAATGAACTGGAGTGTGAATTCGATTTGGAAGGTGGGTGAATTTGGTTTGAAAAAGGGTGAATTTGGTTCGAAAACGGGTGAATTTGGTTTGAAAACGGGTGAATTTAAAGTGAAAATGGTAATATATTTGCTAGGCTCTATTTGTTTGTTTGTTGATTGCTGTCCGGAAATTCAGTTCGACCTGATGAACAACCTACACGAGGCGCTTATCAACCAATATATGTTTTGCTACGTCCATTTGTTTCCTTTGTTTGTTTCCCACGTTGTTTGTCCTGACGGAAATTCGGTTATCTACCTGAGAGAACAACTGGACACGAGGTGGGGCCCCCTCCCCCTCCTCAAGGTCGGGATGGGGCATGGGGACAAGATGTAAATAGCAGCGTGACCCATGGTAAAGTCCGCCCACGGTGGGCGGGGCGTGTGACGAAAGTTAGCGATGCCATTGAAAGAAATGCATAATTCGTGAGCAGTCCCGAGATGGGGCAAAATTGAAAGAACGCTAGCAAAGGGTTGACCGGTCAAATGGAGGAGACACACCCGGGATGGGAGAGGCGTACTTGAGATGGGCGGTGCTTCCCACAGATGTCGGCAACTCGGTCCTCGAGAGAGTATAGTGATTGCAAAAAAAGTCCATGGCGAAGACAAGCATCTGGCGATAGTCCGCCATATCTGCGGTGTGCGGAGACCCGCCCACAGTGGGAGGGGCATGGCCTGAACATTAAGGTATTGTTTTGTGTTTAATTCTTTTTGTGCCTGCGAGGTTGTTAGGTGGAACTGTTTATTATCAGCCTAACGTTTCGACCAGATCGTCGTCCTCGGAGGCCTGAACATAGCTCAAGGATTTCTAATTTGCTTTCTAAACCGTCAAACGCCTCGTCCCCCTAGCGTTTCTGACAAAACTTCAAGGAACAAATGAAAATATCCCGCATGTTTAACCAACTCACCAAGTCCACCGCGGCAGGAGCGGAAGAAGCCGCCCAGTCAGTTGTTAGTAGTATTTGTGAGACTTACTGTGCTGTCCTTACATATAGTAATTATATTCAAGACTTGCACGTCTCACTGCTTACAGTAGCTGGCAGTGCGGTGAAAATGGCATGAGATCATTTGTTATGGATAAGCACTCATTTCGGTTGTTCATTCTAGGATTCCTAGCAGAAATCCAGAATGCCTCCAGCGCTTTCCTGGCGGAAACCTCAGTCTCGTACGCTAAAATTTTGCACTTCACATCATAGTCGGTTCCGCAATGCTCTTCGATCAGATGCCTGCCCAGCGGTGTTGTTAGGTTACCACGCCTTTTACCAGCAAGATGTTCCTTGATGCGCGTTGCTAGCGCCCTTCCAGTCTCCTCAATGTA